CTTTAACTGTCTCTTCCCCGAGCTCATAACCTTCAAGTCACAGACTGAGACAACATCCTACGATGGCATGATGCTCAATGCCCCAAGCTGAGCACAACCAGCCCCTGCAAAGTGTGCCAGCTAGAAGGAAGCCACCACTCTTCGCAGAGTGAGTCTGAGTTGAAGGCTCTTTATTCCCACCCCCTCCCAAGTTAAGTAGATCACAATGCATCTTAAGTGTGAAGATATTTGTATTTATTGTAGTGTTCTTCCATAAATACCTACCCACTGAAGCCACCTCCCCACATGAAGACATCCCCCTCCCTCCGAAAACAGTTCTATAACCCTCCCCTTACTCTGGTATGCCATATTGTTCTGATTTAACTTATCTGTTTAAGACTCCTTGTGGAAAGGATATGGTTGCTGGAGGAGACACGGCTATTTAAACTCTGTAGCCACTTCAGAGGTTAATAATACACACCAGAATAGGGATGTGTGGTTGGAGGGGAAAGGGATGTGTGAGAAGAACAGAGGTAAAGCTCCAGAGATCTGACTCCCTGGTATAGCAGTGATGTTATTGCATAGATGTCAGGGTTATTTGGTTCCTGGTCATCGGGAGCTCCCAGCTAACAGATGTTTTGGTTAGCTGGTACCACTGTCAGAGCATCATCATTCCTGCATTTGGTATTCTTATAACCAAACATGTCTACCCACAACTTGCAAAGGCAAGAATCCCTCAAGTCTCTTGGGCTTTAGAATCTTACCCTTTCACTTACCCCTACAACTCTTACCTTATTTCAAGAGCAATGACCTCAGTGTCCCCCTTGCTGAGACAGGAGGACAGGGCTTAGTGTGGGCTGATGCAGTCTCTGTGAGGAATAAATGGGTTAATACTGGATAATACTGGAAAATCACCCAGAAACAATGCTTTGCCCACTATGTGATTAATGAATGCTGTTACTTCAGTAGTCAGTAGTTATGATTCTACCATAACTATCTATCCCATTCACTGTCTTATGGGTGCTGGGTCTGGCAGTATCTGGCTACAGTCAGCCCTCTATATCAATGGTCTATGTACCCATGAGTTTAACCAACTGTGGTTTTCAAATACTCAGGGCTATGGCATTTCACTGGCACAAAGAGCTTGCCTTTGTAAGGCCTCCAGCTTGGTACTCAGCATTGGGGGGGGTGGAGGTGGAGAAAGTACTCAGAAAAATAACTACACTGGTGTTGACATGGACAGGTCTTCTCAAGATTCCCTAGGCAATAGTGACATAGCTACCCATCCTATCTAGGGGACTTGATCTGTGGTTCTGTTTAGCCAGGATTCTGTCTCCTGTTGGTGTTGACAGTCATCTCTTTATGTAAATGTCACAGTCTGAAAGAAGTCAGATTCTGCTGAGGCTCTTGAGATCACAGCCCTCATCTATCCAGTCATGATGGTTGCGAGGAAAGTCTCACTGAAGGACTGGTTGACTAGTCTACAGTAGGGTGTCTACAGTGGATGTCTATAGTGGGTGTCTACAGTGGGTGTCTACAGTGGGTGTCTACCATGGTGTCTACAGTGGGTGTCTACAGTGGATGTCTACCATGGTGTGTCTACAGTGGGTATCTACAGTGGATGTCTACAGTGGGTGTCTACCATGGTGTGTCTACAGTGGGTGTCTACAGTGGGTATCTACCATGGTGTGTCTACAGTGGGAGTCTACAGTGGGTGTCTACAGTGGGTGTCTACAGTGGGTGTCTACCATGGTGTGTCTACAGTGGGTATCTACAGTGGGTGTCTACTATGGTGTGTCTACAGTAGGTGTCTACCATAGTGTGTCTACAGTGGGTGTCTACCATGGTGTGTCTACAGTGGGTGTCTACAGTAGAGTATCTATTGTGGGGTGTCTACAGTGGATGTTTATAGTGAGGTGTCTATGAGGGATCTTTCTTATCTGGTTACTAGAGTTGGGAAGACCCATTATGAATGCATGCAGTACCATTTCATGGACTTGACCCTAGATGATGTAAAAGTGGAAAAATCCAGCTGAGCATGCATGAGTTCATTCTCTGCTCTGGATTCTTTCTGGGAGGTGAGGTGACCACTTCTGAAGCTCCTGCCACTGTAGCTTCTCCAGTCATGCTGTAGTTGTTTCCTAATTGTCTTTCATCAAGCATTTTATCACAGCAATAGAAACAAAGCTAGAACAAACCAATAGAGCCTTATCAATCAAAATACCAAGGGCAGTTACTGAGGACTTACTGTACACCCAGCACCATCATTGGTGTGCTCAGGGAATGTGTAAAGTGATTTTTTTTCTTTTAATAGGCATTTAAAATACACTCAATTTTACAAGACAGCTCCAGCACACAAAAGCCATCTAACTTTACCTAGATTTTGGATCTGGCCAGAGGTCATTACAACTTGAAGTGTAGAAAGCTTAACTCGACATCCTTGTCTTTTGTGTCATTAACTGTCTGAGCTGAGGAATATTACATAGACGGGAAAGCAGAAAGAGCCTCACTTGTCAAGTAGTATTAGCCAAGCAAGAGGTGGGGGTAAGGGTGTAGGGTGGGGGAGGGGATGCAGGAGTTCACAGCAGTGAAGCTAGCAACTGTCTGCCAGTTCTATGAAGTATGAGCACATCCCTCTGTCCAGCACACCCAGGACAGGGGTGAAAGTGCACAAGATGTGAGGTGTGTAACTCAGAAGCAGCTCACACACACTCATGGTGCTCTGGTGCTGCCAACGCTGGCTAGCTCCAATGCATGGTCAGCATCCCCCCCAAAAGGCTTGTACTCACTCAGTCATCACTTCCCATCACAGTAGCCAATAATTCATTTTTCCACCTCTCCAGACTTACGCTGGGCAGTGCTTTGAAATAAAGGCATGTGCTTTGTTGCCTTTTGTGCTTGACTTTCTCTGTTTTCTTTCTTAGAATGATGTCTTCCAGGGTCACTCTCATGGAATCCTATCCCTATGGAGTTCAGCCTCAGAAGCTGAGGTCCACCCTTGACATCACCTGCTCCCCCCCTCCCCCCCAGAGCTTTCACTCCCCATCCAGCCATCAGGACCTCTTCAATTGCTTGTACTACATGAACACACATGTATCTGTTAGTTCAGGGTGGCCTTTTATGGAGCACAGGGAATGCTTTTTCCTCCAGGGTTCCCAGGCAGCTGCATTAGAGATGAGCAAGCCTATGAGTATTTCATGGAGAAATTAATGTGGCAAAGCAAAGACTTCTTAGAATATGGGGGAAAACTCCCAGCCCCTTCCTGGGTGAGCTTTTTTCTTTTCTGGCCACTTAGAATCTGGTCAGATATAGATTTAAAGACAAAACAAAACACTGGACATAGACCAAATGTGCAGAACCGGGCATCTAATGGGCTGGCTACTCTAACATGTCACAAGAGCCAGGGAAATATTTGCTGTGTGTGTGATGCAGAACAGCAAAATGTAACAAAGAGTCAAAGGTTCTGAGTAAAAAGCCCATGTCACATGGATATGTTTGAGGACTAGTACAGACGCTCCAGCCATCTGTCTGAGACCCTAAATAAATGCATAGGTTGACAGACAGCTTAGGCATTCCATATTCTTTGTGTAACCTACTTTTAAGTGAATTTCCTTCTAGCTTAACTCTTAATTAGATCATCATTATTGACCTAATGTGCTTTCTCATTTCCTGTTCTGAATTAGAAATGAATAGAAATAGAAGAAAACTATGGAGGCTTTGCTATTGTACTATGTGCCTTCAATTTTTATTTTTATTTTTTGATTGTATAAACCAACATCAAAATGACCTGGATAGTATCTGAGGAGAAGGCTCAGCAATTAAGAGTATCTGCTGTTCTCGAAGAGGACCTGAGTTTGATTCTTAGGACCCACATTGGTTGGCTCACAACCTTCTGTAACTCCAGGTTCTAGTCTAAAACAACAACTGTACACAGAAGGGTAAACCTCCACACAGATGCATAATTAAAAATAAATCTTCAAAATAACCTGTATGGCTTTGGGGTGTGTGTTATATCATGTGTCCTAATTCACTTGCTATCCTTTGTAGTTTTAAGAACTACCCCTCAAAATGGCTCTTCCATCCCTGTGAAGAAGACCAAGGAAGCCAAGGTCTGTTGTGTTTTAGGGTTGGAGGGTTCACAGTCTGTCATGGTGGAGAATGTGTGGCAGTGGAGACTCTCTCAGCCTTTGCAACAGAAGCCACGGTCGCATTGCATCTTCAGTCAGGAAGCAGAGAGCAGTGAATACTGGTGCTCCACTCATTTCTTTTTTTATTTAAGTGAGGATCCCAACCCCTGGGATGGTGGCACCCACATTCAGGTGAGTCTTCCCTCTCTATTAAACCTCTCTGGAAAAAACCTCACAGGCTTGTCCAAGGTATGCCTCCTAGGTGATTCTAAATGCAGCCAGTTGACAATGAAGAATAGTCCATCCTTTGTTAAGCTTGCAACCTAAACACATCACTTTAGACCAGGTTAACTTCACAATGCAATGTGAAGACCATCCATCTCTGAAAGCCCCCAAGCCTTTACAGTTCCAACATTGTTCAAAAGTGCAGTTTCCACCAAAACTTTGTCTCTTCTCTGTGAGCTCTTGTAAAATAAAGGTTAGAAAATTAATAATGGTCAAGTTACAAACTTGTCATATATAATGGCACAGATTAGACATTGCATTTCCATTGAGAGGAACAGGGACATGGAAGATAAGACCAAAATGAAACCAAAACCCAGCAGGGTGAGTGTGAAATCCTGCAGCATCTGGGGCTTGAACCAGCACCCTCTGGATTGTTTCTTCTGCCATCCTCCTGTCCACAGGAGTTGTCACCAAGCCTAAGTCTCTGCTCAATGTGATCCCATGGCCCTCCCAAGCTCTAGTCTGCCTCTCTAAGAGCTGCCTCCAAGCAGTATCCCTCTCCTGTCCCAGAGATCAAATGCAGATAGTCTGGGCTGCACTGGGCTCTGCTTGCTTGTCTTGCAGGCAGCAGTTTGAAAGCTGATAGCTCAGTCATGTTAGGGTCTAGGGTGGTTTTTCTCTTCTTTAATTATTTTGGTCACACTGCATGTGCTTCTACTCATGTTACACACAGACCTCTGATGACCAACCGGTCAGAGGCATTCTTACAAACCTTAATTACCTTTCAAAATAACAGCAGGCCAAGTCCAGTTTTCGAAGACACATCTCAGTGTGTGCCTCAGCTCCAGTTACTAGGTGGGTTCAATTTCAACAGGCAGTTTTGCAAATCAATGTGGTTCAGTTGAGTTTGGGTTCATGGTTCGGGTCAGGTCAAGACCCTCGAAGCATTCCTAGATAAGGCGGGTGATATTAATTTCTTACAATAATAATGATGAAGACAGACATGAAAATAACTCTTTGTCTACAAACCCATGGTCCTTGCAAAACCATAGATGAAAGATGTCTGAGAGATTTTACTAGCTCTGCACATGACTGATGCTTCTGTGGGCACCATGTGTGTGCATACCTCTTAGTCTACAATGAAGTTCATGTAGCTCCTTTCTAGAAAAATCCATCTTGCTACATTTCCATAAATTATTTTAGTGGGTTTGCCTGGTAGGGAAGATGGATTCCCCCAACAAAGCCAAAATGTGCATTGATGTGCAATAGGATGATTTGGGTATATGATTTGATTTTTTTAAGACACATTTTGCTAACACAAGGAAGGCCTCTTAATGAAGTTGAATGAAGGTTGGACCCAGAGCAAGCCTCTGTACATCAAAAAAGAACACTTGGGTGTCTTATACAGTACACCCCCTCCCCCAGGGATAGCTTCCCCCCCCCCTCCACCCCTCCTCATCCCCTCACATCTATGTTTATTTAAACCATGGAGTCCTGCTAATGCCTGCTTGAGAGCTACTCCTCACACATGGCCTACACCTGGGAAGCTTCCCTTCTGAAGAGACAACATCACCCTCTCCTCCTCCCTCCTTCCCTGTCTCACTCATGCTCCAGCATATAGGTCTTCTTGATTCCAGGCTCTGAGTTTTCTTTCCTTGTTTTTCTATTCCCAATCTTTGACACGAACACTCAAAAAGTAAATAAATAAATAAACAAACAAATAAAAAAGTCCTGGGGGAAAGGGAAGGATGTATGTGACAAGAATGGGCAGGGAGATGCTTCTCACTGGTAAAGAGAGAAGAAAAGTTGTAATAAGTTGGAATCATAGGGAAAGTGGGACAGGAGGCAGTTGCAGCTGTGGTGGCCTGGACAGAGGCTGCTCACTGAATGAACTCAAAGAAACTTAGGAAAGAGAATAGCAGACATATGGATTCATGGGTGGTAGAGGGTGTGGGTGGCACCAAAGAGGGCCACACAAATTTAAATAGGAAGTTGGCTTGTAGTTTTCTTTTCTTATGATGTTATTGTCTGGTTTTGGTATCAGAGTAATATTGAATCTTTAGATTGAGCAGATTGAGCTGGAAAATACCACTTCCTTTTCCATGTTTTAACTCTTTTGTCTTTGGATGAATGTAAAAAGATTTGGCATGAATTTCTCCTTAAATGTTTAGTTGGATTTAGTAGGAGACGTGTGTGTGTGTGTGTGTGTGTGTGTGTGTGTGTGTGTGTGTGTGTGTGTGTGTATGTGTGTGTTTGGTACTTTTTCTTTGAGGCACAGTTTCATCCAGGTCCAGGTGACCTTGAAGCAGGGTTTGTGCACTTGCTGGACAAGCATTTGCCAACTGCATCATGAACATATCCGCAGCACCGTGTTAGTCTATTAACTAGTTAAAAGTTTATTCAAATTTCAGTTTTGAGTTTACTGTTTTTGTAGTTTTGGATATTTATTTGCCTTATGAAAGCCTGCTCATAGATGTTTTGGTTCTTTCCAGACCTTGGTCTCTGTTTTCCTCTCTTCCCCTTGTATACATGTTCACTCCATCTTTCCTCTGTGTTTATTCTCTTCTCTGTACTTTCACACGTGGAAGTTTGTTTTCAGTGTTTGAGATCTTTCTTAGCCAAGAACTGCATGTCACTAACAGCTGTGATCGTCTGAGTTTAAGTCTATCTGTGCACCATTAAATTTTGGTATGTTGTATTTTTGTTTCATTTGTCCAGACTAATGTCTGGACTAAGGACTTCCTTTCATTTCTTCCCCTAACCCTAGAAGTGCATTTGATTTTTACATAACAGAGAATTGCCTAGTTTCTTTCTGTTACTGCTTTTTTTTTTTTTTTTTAAATCTTATCCCCAGAATTTAGATTTAAGTTCTTTTAATTGACTCTTTCATGTTATAACTGGATCTACCTGGGGATGTCTCCTGCATGTCAGAGGTCCACATGTTCTGCAGATGTCCCTTCAATGATCTTCATAGCCTTTTGGGTTCTATAACTGGTGTGTAGTGTCGTTCAAGTCTTGTCTTTCTCTGTTTATAATCTCAGTGCTCTGTTTATTGTTGTCAGTTGGGCATCAAGCTTAACTCAGAAGCTAAACTGTCTGTTTCCCATTCAGTTCAGGCAGGTGTCCCTCACAGTTTTATGCTCAGCATTTAGATGCTATGTTGATTATTGCAAAGTCTTGCTTCTCTTTTAAAGATTTTTAATTAAAAAAAAATTGTTACATGTGCATTGGTGTGAAGGTGTCAAATCTTCTGGAACTGGAGTTACAGACAGTTGTGAGTTGCCATTTGGGGTCTGGGAATTGAACCTGGATCCTCTAGGAGAGCAGCCAGCCAGTGCTACTTAACCTCTGAGCCATTTCTCCAGCTCACAAAGTCTTTCTAGTTGACCCACTTGACATCACAAAATGGTCTTGATCTATGTCAAAAACCCAAGATGGTCACTCAGTCATCTTTCACCTTTTGCTCTTGTCTGTCTTCTCTCATTCTTTTACTTATGGGTCATTTCTGTCTTTTGACATAAATTGTGACTTTCATAGACATCTTAAACTGACACTATTTTAAGATCTTTTCTTCCAACAAGTGCCTTTTGATTGAACTATTTTGCTGTACTATATTTAATATAGTTATATACAACCATTATGACAAAGATGGAAGGGGCCACTACTTCCAAGAACTTCCTTCCCTGTGCAGAGCTTCCAACTCTGATGTGGAGCAATAAAGAGTACAGGGCAAGAAAACTCCAGGGAAAACAAAAGCCCCAGCTGCATGAAGTCCTCAGCTTTTGAAAGCAGAAGTCCCCAAGCACAACCAGGTTAGTAAAACAGCAGATGGCAGTGATGCTGAAGGGTCTTAGCCTTCACTTCCTGCCTCCTTAGCCAATCAGATGTGAGAGTGTTCATCACCTGACTAGAATTTGTATATCCCAGTTCATATGGGCTTATTCCCCATGAAAATAAGAATTTTGCACATCCTTCATGTTCTTTTCCATTTCTTCTTTTAATTTGTTTGAGGTTGTATTCTTATTAGTCTCAACAGGTAGAGTCTCAACCAGCAGACACTTACAAATAGGTTTCCAGACAACACCTTGGGATGGAACTGTTAACTAAAGGCATTTGTGAATAAAGTCAACTCAAGTCCAACTCTTCACAAGTGCCTCTTCAGGTGTCCCCAAGGAGGCCAAGTAGTTATTCTCTTCTGGAGAGGGGTATTTGGAAACTTCTGGCTCATTTAACTTTCACAGACCTGTGCTTTCTCATCATGGTGGGACAATCAATTAAATGCCAGGCTTGTTTCTCTTAGTGGTAATTCAGAGCTAGTAACAAAGATTGGGAAGAGTTAACACCTCCGAAGCTCACTACTTTTTTTTTTTTTTTTTTTTTTTTTTTAGCAAATCCAGTCATTTTCCTAAATACTTTTCAGGTAATCATAAACATTCAAACTTCAGTTTCCAGGAAATACTGACTATGATGGTTGATCTCCTTTGAAACATAGGAGAAACCAAGTTGATCACCAGAATTTACCTGTCTGTGTTTCTTGAATGAGGACAATATAAGATCAATGACTTCACATGCCTGCCACCATGCCTCTCCCATGCTGATAAATTGTATCTCAAAATCATGAGTAAACATAAAATCAACATTCCCTGAGTTGTTTTTTGTTCTTTTACAGCAGAGAAGAGAACTAATTTTGAAATTTTGTATCAGGAGTGGGGTTGTTGCTATAATTAACATGAGTGTGTGTATTGTAGGCTTTGAAGCTGCTTCTCAGGTAGAATGAGGCAGTGTTGAGAATTCTGGGATACAGAACTCCAACATTGTTGTAAGCAGGGATTAACAAAAGCCATTCTCATGAGATTCTGGTTAAGTCCTATGAAGTAAAGAATCTGAACAAATTTTATGTCAAACTTTATGTTGACTGTTTATATATAAGTGCATTTTTCTAGAGCTGCTAGTCTTTATCATATATCTTATATCCTAAAGCATTATGCAGCAATGTACACATGTCTATAAGCCAAGATGATATAACATTAGGTTTAATCCTTAGTCACAAGAAAAAGTTATAGAGAAACACACACACACATACACACACCAGTTTAAAAGGGATTACAATGTTGAAAGGTTGAGAAGAGGGCTCTGTGGGTAAAATGTATCTTAAAATGTCTCTTTCTCTGTTTTTTTCCTTAATCTAATGCCAATATGATAATTTACCTTTGTGTGTCTGCACTTTTGCTAGGACTGAATGATTAGAGCAAGCAGTCTTGAATAACCAATTTTCACACAGTATAGACAAGAAAAAACTCAGATACTTAAACTAAGAGATCAAAGCCTCCAAATTGTAGATTCTCATGCATATACATCTACAAAACAAAAATGGCACATTATAAAAACAGATTAACAACCAGACAGACAGATAAAAAGACACATAAGTGATGAAGTAAAATTGACAGTTATTGGGCTGGATAGGTGGCTTGATGGGACAGGCCATCAGCTTCTCTAGCAGAAGACCCATGTTTGGCTCCTAGCATCACATGGTGGCTAACAATTGTGTGAAGCTCCAGTTTTAGGGGACCCAGTGAACTCTTCTGGCCTCTGTGGGTACTGCATGTATTTGGTACACATGCATAAAATAAATTTTTAAAAATCAGCAATCATCATGAATACATACTAACAAGAAACAAACAAGCAAAAAAAAAAAGAGAGAATACAACTATGTTACATTGGAGTGCACTCAAAATACTTAGGGCAATCTGTTACTGTTTTTGTTTAAATTTATATCAAGGTACAAAATTGGAATGAAAGGAAATTAGAAGCCTCTCTGTAAGCTTTTCTTTAGAGACCCTAAGATAATCAATGTGTTTTTGAGCTATTATCTTGAACCAGTCATTTCTATCCTACTCAATGCAGCCATCTCTTGGGTGTTAAGCATTCTCAAGACTCATATACTTAGCTACCTTCCCATCTCCCTGGCTCATGAGTAGATGATGAAACAGAGCCCAGAGAAACAGTCACTAGCAGAACCCCTTCCATAAAGCTGACCTCAACAGGTGCAGCTTGTCACTCTTGCTACCAAAGGTGTTGACGACAGTGGAGAAACTGGAGAGGCACAGACCAGCACAGTCTTGGGTAGAGGGGTTCCTTCTTTGGCAACTTCTAGTTACCTACAATCAGACCCTTGACTACACCACAGAAGAGTTTCAGG